TGAACGATGTAGTCCGATTCGCTGCTCTCCAAGTCAGTGGTGGTATCTCGGCCACGTATTTTTGTAACATACGGTAAGAAATGGAAAACCAACACATGCCCCCCAAATCGTGGAGCAAGCCCTGGGGTATTTATCTACTTAATATGGTGCCATAGAATGGCGTACGTAACCTAGACAACATTTCTTATCTTTGGTAACACTATCAAGTTTGCTTTTAGTTTATACGGTTTTTATTTCCACGTCGACGCTACAGATCGGATGAAAGCCCCTGTTCGCATCTTTGGCCGTTATTTATTGTTAGTACTCCACGAAGAAAACCCCCGCCACGGGTGATCTAAATACCTACGGTCTACTCCATGTTGGATCGTTATCTAACCACCAGCTTCACATAAACCATGTCGGGGTAGAGAAGTTCGTATCTTTTCGTAGTTGAAAGATCTAGAACTTCCAAAACAACGTTTCATTTATTGGCATTCGCGTTCTTGATCCCCCCTTTCTCGGTTCTCCCTTTCTTGATCTTCCCTTTCCCAATGCTCGGCGCCCAAAACCCTGTCCTGGTATGTATCGCCTTAATGCACCACGTTTCAACACCCTAATAGCAAGTAATACCTACATAAGGCGCGGAGATATTGCAGGAATCTTGTACACCTTACGTAAAACAAAATATAACTATAGTTCTTTTATGGGTTGCCAATTTTAGCAATCCGGATAATTATATTAATTCAGTGTTTCTTAAATACTTATCAATACAACTGTAACCGCAATGTTTATAAATGTTATAATCGTTCCTTTTTAGAGGCTTAAATTCATTTCTCGCTTCCGGGCCAGTAATATGTGTTCCTTAGAAGCGTCCACAAGTTGTTCCCGTTGCAGTAGTGTGCAAAGCGAAAACCCTCCCTTTCAACACCGTCTTGTTGTGCAGTCAACATGTTTGATGATGGGACCAAGGCTTTCATACATCCCTTAAACCATTATGTATATTCTATATGGTGAACGAATGGTATGTTATGATATAATTATGAGGAAAGCTTTTAATATGATAGGGCTATTGCAGAGGTTCCTTTGAATTTCATGTTTTAGGATGTTCCACTAATTGGGGATATCTTCTTCGTTATAGAAACTGTCTACTACTTCACTGGACTAAGTGTTCATCCATAGGGACATACTAGTTCGGTGATGTACGTGCGTAAAAATGCGGTGAAACTCATATCAGTTGTTACTGCCCTTGTTTTCAAAGCTTTGTGGAAGAAACCATATCCCGGTCAGAAGGGATAATAGCTGACACACACAAACAAGCCCTTATAAATTTCTTTTTGAGGGCTTACACGTTTAATCTCTTACTATAATAATCCTCCAGGCGTACGGTGTGTCTCAGGTACAGTACCCATGGCCCAATGACAATGACATCACTTCCTAGTGACCATAGTGGCAATTAAAATATGTTCATTTTTGGTATTCTGTTGGTTACAAATTACTTGCAATATTGTTCGCCTTCTTCTGCACTCCCATCAATGTGCATACTTATACCGGATATCTGAGTTGTGTCGTTCCTCTTAGGCGAGATGCATCTTCTCGTTTTCGGCCGGCCTCACAACCTATATTGTGACAGTACTGCTATATTCATCATCTGACAGCCTACCTAGTTACTCCATTAAAAGCAGACTCCGCAAGATAAAACCTCTGTAACTCGCATACCTCGAGCCATCGGGCATCATCTGTGATCACGAATCGCCTCACTATGTAAAGCTTATGATTATGCCATGAGCTAACTCAAACTCCAACTTGAGTATATTTTATGATTATAGAGTTAGCTGTGTCTACACTTTACCAGCTGATGTCCCCTCATTGCATACAATATTGAAGTGTAATGCCGCGATGCATCATTTTATCCTTCGATGGAAAATTCAATCATTGGTTGCCCATTGTAATAGGTGTATCTACTCTGCAGAGTCCCCTGAAACTACACGAGATATTCTATAAACCGACCGTCAGTAATGAACAACGCAAAATGTAGTTTCGTCTATGGGAGCGATGTCACCTACCTTCGAATGCCTTCTCTCAAAGTCTCCTCGTCGAGCGAGAATATGAGACGAAACATGCCCGGGTCAGGAGCTCGGTAGCTTTCGCCTGTTGACATGAATACGCCAGCCACGTATAGCCGCTGTGATAACAATCTCTGCGCCGCCCAACCGTCTCCTTTCGTTTGTTCAATAGGTAGAAAAGGGCTCAAGTCCAACCATATGAAGAACCCGGAATTCCTATTGGGTTGGCACATTAATCACTAAACCCACTTCAAGACATATAAAAAATAGGTAGTAGGCTGATGAACGTCCAATCATCAAGTACATACCCCTTATCATGGAAGCCAATGCCAGCTTGGGAAAGAAGCGACTCGGCCAGTAGTCTATTATGAAGCAACCGAGCGCGTGAATTCTCAAAAAATGATTTGATAAAGTCTTCGTCTTCGAGAAGGCTGGCTGCGATATGCATGGAAAATTGTGAGGGCGAATAGAACCGACATAGGGACCGCACAGCGTGAGTGAAGTCAAGACTTCGTGATACCAAGCATCCTAGGCGCATTCCACCAGCGCCGAAGTCCTGCAAAATTCGTCAAAATCCAGATGATGCGCGTCGTTTAGTTAGTGTGACATACCTTAGACATCCCGTAGAGAACATGAACTTGGCTGGAATCAATGATTCCTGAAAGGTGGATTGATAGTACCGAAGTGAACACATCTGACGGCCGATCCTTTCTATCGTAGGTCGAGAGAGCATAGATTTCGTCGCTGATCAGATGAATCCCCTTTCGAGCACAAAGTTGTAGAAGCCCGATAAGCGTCTCTCGAGGATAACAGCGGCCTGGTTAAGATATGAGACCACCAAAATTTCAAACACTGGCCTTGCCTACTCACCAAGTGGATTATGGGGGTTGCATATTACCAGCGCCTTGATATTTTTGCCGCGTGCTTTGGCGTCCTCGTATCCAGCTTCATACGCCGCAACACATGCGGGCGTAAACTGATCCGTATTGCCTACCGAGACATACTCTATGTCCACACTAAAGTAGAGTCAGAACTGCCGGCATGATGGGAGGAGTGTACTTCCTACCCCGTACGCATACATAGATCGTCGGAGAATCCGCCATACACCGGTCTACCCAACATAATAGCATCCCCAACATCCGGATTGCAGGTGACCATCGCGCAGGCTTCGTTGATATCAGTTACGCCGGCGGCGAAAGTGATGTCTTCGGCGTCAATCGGGCGTGCTGGCTCGAAATGCTTGTTGACTAGAAAACTCAGACTTAGTTATCGCTATCTTATGCGTGATGTGCGAGGAGTATCGAAGCTTTTAGACGTTATACTTGTCCCAAAAAGAAAGCTCATGATCTGAAATTGGTAAAACGAGTAGAAAATGAGTTCGATAATTACTTACGGTGGTTCGCCATCGCCTTCCGAAGCCTTACGGTACCGGTGTAACCCTCGCCATACGCGCAACATGACTCGTCGAAGTCCTAGGCATCTGCATTAGCTATAGTTTCATGATTACAACTTGTTACGAAGGAATCGTTAGCTTACGAGTTTGTTGACGAAGCGCGTTATGTCAGACTGCACCAGGCACTGAGTTCCGTTAGCAGTAGTGCTTCACATTCCTCCCCTGGCTTACCGCTGTACATTTTCTGCATTATCGAAGCTCACCACACCCTGAGGGTTGTTTACGGGGTGGTAGAGGCTCTGTGCACCATGGGCATAGCCGTATTGTGCCCAACTGGCTCCTCTTTTAGACAGCATCGTGGTGAAATAGGTCGTTTTCCAAAGGATAGCTAGGGAAAGGTGAAGATGGTGTTGACTGAGGCGTGACCAAAAGGAAGAAGATGATCTTAATCACCCCAAGCTCAGAACCCCCGCGCGTCCTATTACTCATTCTACCGAAGGGACTAGTTGGGCGGGGTATATATGGAGTTTAATTGGAGAGCCGAGGATGGATACATGATAGCTGAACGCGTGATCACGTGGAGCGAACTAGGCGTTACTTTCTCCCTCTTGTTTGATTCTATTACACATCATAAACATACGGGACTATCTACGGGCGTTGTATTATTCGTTCAGACATACATAGTCTGTCACATCACGTAACAAGGCCAAACCAGGCATGGAAGAAGCATTGAGCTCTAAGTGGATTGAAGAACTGGTGGTTTTACGAATGAGGATTATTTTGCTTTGAGCTAGCTAGCTACGGGGGGTCTTGCTAACTAACGTTCAGTATCCTCCGGCCATTCTCTACGTGTCTGGCGGTGTTACTAAGGAGTCCTATGGCTACGTCAGTCGTAGATGAAAGATTTTCAATTAGGCACTTCACGCAACGCTGATCGACGGCGTTCATTTACTTTAGTTAGTTAGATGTTGGTTAGGACCACCCGGGGAATATTCGCTACGCTGTTTTCTATCATGTTTTTCTATTTACGAAAACAAGATAATAATTCGATCAATAACATCTAAAAGTACAAAGATTAGGAGGGTGTCTGTCATACATACTAATTAATTAAGCCCCTCCGCATATCATGAACATAGATAGAGAGAGAGTCATGCCAGTTACCCGCATCCACCTGATCTCATATAGTACACCGAGACAATTAATTGGCTATACGAGAGCGAGACCGGGACCGGAACAAGCAACCTTATTTAAGCGGTAAGTAGGTAGATCTGCACTTTTTCAACCAAATAAGGCAAGTCCTTTTTACAGACCCATTCATTCATTCATTGACTTACTTGATCTTTAATGACAAGCCCGCCCGTCTGTCTGTCGTTGTCCGTCGTCTTACCGGGGGGGGGTGTATGTGAGCATATAGCAAGCAAGCAGCAAGGAATAATTAATATCATCCATCCATCCATCCGCCCATCCATGCAGCATCATCATCATGCTTACTTGTCAAGGATGAAAAGGGGAAAAAAAGAATTAAAATAGTTTGTTCACGGACTAATCGTTGCAAAATAATGTGCCGCCCCAGGCGGGGGTCGAACCCGCAGCCTTCGGATATCGAATTATAAGGCTAGCCTATAAAAGTCCGACGCTCTAACCAATTGAGCTACCAAGGCAGTCCACGTGATGGTTGTGTGGTCAGAGGGCTATGATGCATCAGATAATGCTGATCCGGCAGGTCTAAAAACCCAGCCATTCCAGGGCCAACCAAACAGCAGGACAGATTAGGTAACCAGTTTTTTTAGCCATTTATAAAACTACATAGACTTGTTACTAGCATTGAAATCTGTATCAAAATGTTTTTGAATCTGCGGACAACAAGGACCGTATGATCACAGCACCTCATGCATACATAGACCGGGAAATAGCTTGGTAGGTAGCTATCTACTATCTAGTGAGTGAGTGAGCTTGGAAATCATCGTTATAGAAAAGACGCTTGAGCTGCCTGAACCTTCGAGCTACCTCTTTCTTTCATCCCGACGTGGCGTGTGAGGTTCGCATATATGTAAAGCAAGACAATTCATACCCCTCCATACTGTTTAGTCGTCCCCGGCTCCGTTACGGCTATTCTAACTGATAGTAGTATAGTATACTCCGTAGTCGCGGTTTTAATGGTGATGATCGGGCACTCTGCCGACTTTCGCCGATTCGGTTCCGAATCCCGAAGCCTATTCCCACCTGGGTTGGTTGAATGAGTATAATAACATGGTGATTCATGCTCGTCGTTCTCAACCACATAACCTGGCCCGACTTGCTTATCTTCACTATGACTATAGGAGATAACTAGAAATTCCACTGTGTCTTCACAATTATTCTTCGGGAGAATCATCTACGATTCAGGTATAACAACAGCCTGAGCCGCGGACGAGGCGCAACTCGACCAGCCCTGCAAGCATGCCATACGAGTATAGTCTGATGTTATGAACCATATACCCTGCAAGCACCACCGGAATGAGAACTCAAAGAGGGGTCCAAGGCACCTATGCGGTGCTTGCAGCATGAGCTATCAGATCTTCTGCGCCGTGCCCTAAACCGCAATCACTATAGTATGCATCATAATCAAGCGAGCCGATGACGGCCCAGCCCCGGGTCGGGTACCTGAGTGCTCACCCAATCGCTTCGGATGCAGCTTCGGTAAAAAGTCCAGTAGTCACTGCGCTAAGGTCCTTGCATATACCAGTGTTACATCCAGGCGCAGGAAGCAACAGCATCTGCCGCCGGCCATTATTGTCACGGTACCTTAGGTAGTATAGGCGTTGTGGGTCTTGCTTGCGGTGATTATACTACTATCTCCGCCGCTACTCAAATGATAGGTAGTTGAAGGAAGAGAGAGCGGTAGTATAATAATACTATAATAAACGTTGTGTAGGGCGGATTATTTATGCCCAACCTTTTTTCTCCTCCTCCTTATATCTATATATCTATACTGCCTACTGCCTACTGCCTACTCTAGGTAAAATCTCAGAGCGGAAGAAAAAGAAAAAAAGAAAAGAGAGAAAGAGAGACGACAGTTCCACACAATGGGTAAAGAATCTCCAAGTGTACAGAAGGCCCTCGCGGCCGCCAAGAACGCCACGACGCTACGCCTACACTTCCCCGAGGCCACTCTGACGGCGGCGGGCACCAACCTGACCATCCCCCAATCCACGCCCACTCCAACACTGTCCATCGCTGCCAGCGTCTTGAAGTCGGAGCCCGACACCAAGTACATCGCCGTCTCCATCGACCTGGACGCCCCCTTCCCCTCCTTCCCCGTGCTCGGCCCCATCCTGCACGGCCTGCACATCGACCTCGTCCCCGGCCCCGCCGACAGCGACGGCTTCGCGCCGCTCGAGGGCCCCAAGGACTGGCTGGCCCCGTACCTGCCCCCGGGCCCCCCGAAGCCCAGCTCCGCGCACCGCTACGTCTTCCTCGTCTTCGAGCAGCCCAAGGCCCTGGACGCTGCCAAGGTCAGGAGCCTGCTGGGTCTGGCCGAGGAGGTGAAGCTGACGAGTCGCCTGTGGTGGAACGAGGAGGCTTTTGAGAATAAGCTGGGCCTTGGCGAGGTCCTGGCCGGGAATTACTGGCTCACGAACGCTTGAGGGAGTGATGAGGGGAAGGGGGGGGTTGTTAATGACATAGGTTCAAGGGGGGCGGGCAAGGAATGGATGGTGGTCGCTCCGACCGTTCAAGCCATCCATGTATCTACCGCCATCAATTTGCTTCGGGATGGAAGGTCCACATCGTATACCCAGTCTGTAATCGAGTCTTTGATTGCATTTAATACCACGTTATTACAAAGTTCATGGCTTTGGATGCTAATGTAGCAGAGGTGAAAGTCTTATAACTATGAGACAATTGAGACAGTACTCCCGAGCCCAGCTTGGCTTTCCAAAACACACGTGTTTATGACTAACACGAAATCATGTTAAATTTCAAATCCATTCTACGTCAAGCCCGCCTAATGCCCTATTTAAGACTGAGTTAATGGTTGGGGGGTTCCGTGAGATCAATCAAGTGTAAGTTGGACGGACGTCATGCGTCTTAGTCACACTGATTCATACATAGATTTTATTATTCCCGGACGCCCCTGAAATAACCCCTATGGAATATACAGCACTTTTTTTTTAATGACCGGTATGTCTCATACTCCGACTAAGCGGATGGCACACAAGCGAAAGAATCGACATGTCAGAGATGAGACACGCAAGTCCTCCGTCATACAGTATGACTGCCTACTTGACCCAGTATGTATCATGAGAGATACCGCTGCAGGAACTGTGCCATGTCAACAACAGTCTCCTCATACGGAATCCACTCCTCTCCCGTAGCCGAGACAGCTTTGTCAGAGTCGAATGCGCCAACACCATCCCGAGGCTTATAGTCAGGCGAGTATCCCTGTCCAGGCTGCCCTCGCTGTATCTTCAAGGACGGCATACGTCGGCTCAATATATCGGCGATGGCCTGACCGCCACCGACGGACGAAGAGCACACGAAACGCTGGCCATCGGACTGCGAGGGGTGCAATGCCGACCACAGCAGCATTCGTGCTACGTCTCGTATGTCGACCGTGTCACCGTAAATCATCATGGGGCCAGGCACCTCCTCGCCCGCCACGACCTTCCAGAAATCGCTGTTGGAGTACGGAATGTCCGCCGCGGTTCCCCAGGGGATCAGCGGTGGTCCGATGAAGTACCTATCGCGGTCATGTCAGCTTGACTCGACACCCATTCATTTCTGATGTGAGGGAGGGAGTGCTCACGTAGGCTGAAGAGCCGTCATCCCAAAAGACGGTGAGTAGCTTTCCCGAAATTGCCAGAACGCCTTCTCCGCAGCCGTCTTGCTGGCGAGATATGCATGGAAGCCGCCCGCCTTATCCCCGTCTCGTTTGAGGATGTCCTCGGACGTGGTGTTCCAGTCATTTTCGGTGTAGAGCCGGTCCTCCATCGGGATGTCGAATAGGGCCGCGGCCGATGACACGAGGATTACACTGTTTATAGTCTCACGGGTCTTCGTTGCTGCGCTCAAAACCCTCGCTGTACTCTCCGTTGCTATCCTAACTACCTCTGAGGGGGGAAGTGTCCATATTTCTGCAAGAGGCGAAGCAAGATGAAAGATCGCAATGCAGCCTAGAATACATCAGTTAGCATCTGCCCAACTATGATACAGTTACTTCCATACCAGCAGCGGCAGTATCAAGACAACCTGGGCGGCATATGTCGGGAATTTCGAGGACGTCGATGTCTTCTGAACGATAGCCAAGTTGTAAGAGAGCGGTCTTGACCTTCTCTCCTGTTGCCTGGTTACGGACGGTGCCACGAACTCGGTATCCCTCTCGCAATACCAGTTCGGCCGTCCTACCTGCTAGATAACCGTTCAAGCCAGTTATCAGAATGGTATCCTTGTGATGTTCCCCGTTTGCCGGCATCTTGGAAAAGAGACTGCTCTCCGATCTTAGTGAAGTAGTACAGGTCCAGGGGAGAGTCCGGTGACGAAGTAAAGACACATAGGTAGAATCCATATCGCTGGCACGAGTCGTACGAGGGGAATTATAACTCTCCTTTTCTCTGTGCAACAAGCGTTTACCGGTACAATGGCACGGCACCACAGAATGATGTTGTGATTGCTCATCTACTTATACGGATTGCTGCAAGGGAGGACAGTCCGCTGCGAGTGGCACCACTCGTCAATCTCGAAGAATCCTCCATCCTCGCCGATTGTCGGTAAATGACATCAAAACACTTTGGGCAGGTTTCAAAGTCCCGGTGATGGATAGAGAGACAGATAGACAGACGTCTTCAAGGTTCAACCCGTGGTGACCCCAAGCCACAACTGGACCCTGCAAGCTCCAACGTATCTGCATTGTCCTTTTTACAAAAGTCCAGGAGCGGTGGGATAAAACGTGGCATACCAGTTTGCGACGGCCCCGGACGGATCGAGTGCTACTACGGGCTTGGTTAGAGCCGTGGAGCTGCTGAGTTGCATTAATGAAGGTAGCGCGCGCGACGCTGGTTCAGATAATCGTGATGATTTTCTTCGATTCAGCCGTTACACTAAGAGCCGATTCTCAAGCCACGATCTTTTTTACATCGAAGGGGACCCCCCCCTTAACATTACTTGCATAGGGCTGCTCAGACCCCAAGGTTGCACTCTGGCAATCGGCTCGAGGAAATGCCTTTACACCCCTGCATTCAAATACTGGATATGCGATAGGAGTTGAGGTCCTACCGCTTGGTCCCCCTTTGCATCGATTCACCATGCCTTGTTTCCAATATAGGCATCTGTCAAAAGGCCTTTCTTGCCTTGATCTAATCCATTATGGTGGTGGTGGGTATTTAACGATAACAATACCAGCTGCATCGAGACTGGCACGGAAATCCATCGTCGGCCAATTCTCATAATTAATCGTGCTAATCTAATCTATCTGACCGCCCCTGCAAACCGATCTTATTCAATGATTCGTCATCGAGTGCCGTTGCATAGACTCCGTGTATTTTGCAGATCGGTAGTTTTCCGCTAGACTATATGAAGCCTTTTAGCCCGACTCGTCTTTTTTTTTTGAACGAGCCGAAGGCCGCAAGCGCAAGGTATGTAAAAAGGCCTATAAATCGAAAGGACCACGCGTTTGATCGACTAG